AGCGTTTAACTCCCACTAGCAGGATTACAGAAACATATCGACATGTGCCGACATGTGCTAGCGTTTAACTCCCACTAGCAAGATTACAGAAACATGACCACATCGGAGACAAAACAGGCTGAAGTTAACAGAAAGACATAATTTATCAATCACTTTCAGATCATCAGGACAATCAATCAAATTTCAAGTAGGCATGCTCAATTTAATGAAGAACATAAAACTTTCACTTCAAATCAGTCATGCTCGTGTAAAACGAGTTTAGTCCCGCCACCACTTCAAAAACAAATCAAAACAAGCTTTTAAAAACTATACGGGCATTACCATAAATTTACTTACCTCACTCCGCAAAACCGAGCACTCAATTCACGTACTAAACTGACAGAACGATCAAGAACCTAATCAAAATACCTCAGAATTAATACCGGACTATCACAAATTCAAACTGAAATCATCAAGATCACTCTTAATCCCGATGCTATTCCTATCAATCTCCACATGATCAAATATCTCCAAATTCGTTCTTAGATCACAAACTAAACATTTAAATCCCCGTTAATTGTAAGCCCTCGGGGTGTGAACAGTAACATGTGAACAGGACCTATGAACAGTAACCCCAATTTTCACAAATTGGCCAAAACACTAGCTAATTTCACAGGATTTTCTCCAAAAATCACAGCAACTAATCAAGCTAATTTACACTTAAACCAAGCTTAAAAACATAGCTTAAGCTATCAAAATTCATCCCCAATTTCTGCAAACTTTCGGACATCACAGGGGCAGCCAATCCATGGACAAAATTCAATAATTAAAGGGGTAAATTAGGACTTAGAGAAGCTGCCACATACCATAAATCCAGCAAGCAAAACCGGAGTGCAGATTGGGGAGGAGGCCGACAGCAAGTGCAGGGGAAGCTCACGGTAACTACCAAAATTCAAGAACCAAAACACAATTCAAGTAAACCCAAGCTAAGTCAAGCAAGAACAAAGGAATTAGGGGTTGTTCTTACCGAAAATTCAAAGCAATTCGCCCCCACAAAGCAAGAGCAATCGGCGGTGAGGAAACAGAGCAAGGCAGATCCGAAAGCTCCTGTAGGGGGAAGAGATTTTTGGGTTCCAAATCAGGTTCTTGGACAAGAAGAAGGAGAAATTCCAAGCTTTCTCACCAATTTTTCAAAGCTGGTGCCGGCGGCTTGAAGGGGGGATTTCGGGAGCTGCAGCGAGAAGAAGAAGAAGAGCAGAAACACGCAAGGCTGGGAAAGAAAGAAAGAAGAAAAAGAAAAAGAAGGAAGCTGATCCTTATCCTAAAATCTTTCCCTCTTTAAGTCCCTCAACTTTTGAAATATTCACATTAGGCCCCAAAACAATCTTTTCTCACAATCAAGTCCCTAACTTACACTTAAATATTCTCAAAATTTTGGGATATTACATTTATAATAGAAGGATTGGTCTACATAGCCACTCATGGCTAGAAAGGAAATTTGCATCAATAACATATTTCCAAAATAATGTGCTATTCTTGAAAATATAAGGATTAGCTAATTTGCAAAGCTACTTGATATTACCAAGCGAACAACCATTTCTTTCAAAGCTATCTTTGTTGGCAAGTTTGTAGTGAAGTCAGTAGAAAGGAAAGCTGCAACTCCCACCTTGGCTGTTTCTGTCTATGGCTAAAGACAAGGCTAGAAGAAGCATATTTGTTTAATTTTCACACTTGGCGCATAAGAAAATCACAAGTCACAAAGAAAGCAAGTGTTAAAGCAACTAAGTCCAACATGAAGATGTTCAACCCAAAACCAAGCATAATAAAAGGGTTACATCATGGCGATATTGCCAACAGTGATCACACGATAAATGAAGCAAAATGAAAGTTGTTTATAATAGAAGGGTTGGTGTACATAGCCACTCATGGCTGGAATGGATTGGGCATCACAATAGCTTTTGGCAATTTTAACACAGATACAGTGAAGTTGAGTAATTTCACTGGAACTCAAGCGCTTTTTCTCTTGGTTGAGTGATTCCAGTTATGCCTGGATTGATTTTAGACCTTCTTTAAACTTAAGGATGAATTCCTTCATCTCAGCTAAGGATTTCATCACCTCTTTAATGTTCTTTGCCTATTCCTCAATTCGCTCATCCAAGTTCCTAGCTATGTCACCTCTATCTATGCTAAACTCACTCTTGCTGAGGCATGCTTTTGCTAGATCCAATAAGTGTGCTTGAATTGTGCCACCTTTAAAGTTTATACTCTCAATATCATCAATGCCATCCCTATACAAACAAAAGAAGTCTTTATGGTTACCTCCATGTGTTGCATGGTCGTGCAAAGGTGTGCAAAGGTTCGCAAAGGGATCTTTGATCATCACTTTTTTAGCTTTACTGAATGTAGTTAGCTTTGGGATGGTATCCAAGAAATGGGTACATATGTCTCCAACATTGGGTGCTTTTCAAACTTGCCCATTAATCAAATAGTAGTACTAGGCAAAGGCCAAATCGAGCCAACGATACATCTCTATCTTCATTCATTTTGCTCAAGTCTTTAAGTAGTTTCATAGTGAAGTCGTTAGCCTTACTTGATTCAGCTAGAACAGAGGATGGCTTGTCACTAAGCACAACTTCATTGGAATTAGCAACCTTCTCTGCTGCACTCATGGCTAGCTCATCAGTGTCAATCTTGTCATTGTTGGTAAGGGGCCCCTTTAAAGCGTCGCCCACATCTGACTCAAGCTCCTTGGGTATAGCCCTATTTATGTTTATACTACCAATGAAACGTTTATCTTCCCTTTTACTCTCAAAGCCATTCTCATTTTTTGATGATTTATCACTGTTGGTGGACTCGTCATTACTGCCTTTGCTAAATTTGGAGCTAACTTCTTTAGTAATTTCTTTGCCTTTTCCTTCGTTAACAACGACTATGGTCTTAGCCTTACCTTTTTAGCATTTGGCAAAGCAAACAAAAGGCAATTGGTTAGCAAAGAAATTTATTATCAAGGTACCAAGACTTTAATCATATTTCTTGTTATCTACAATACCTTTCTCAATAATGGCAGTGTCAACACTTTCCTTAATTGAGGGCTTCCTCAACACTAGTTTGACAACAACAACACGT